TGTGCAAAGTGTGTTTGATTGCATGCCTTTAGTCTTTAATTAGGGTGGTCTACTTGTTGGTTTTATCTTGCCATACATCCTAATTACTAACATTTGTATAAAACAATAAAAATGGAGAAAATAAATATCCTACACTATTACAACCATATTGAATAACAAGAAAATATGAAAAAAAAGCATAAATAACATAAAAAGAGAGAAAAAGTGAGTCCTTCGATCCAGGAAGTAGGCTCCTTCGATTCACCCTCCTTTGACTCCTTTCAATTGGGGCTGGGGATCAGTGTGAGCACCCTTCAATTACACCCTTTTCCCTTCTTTCGATTGGGGACTGGAAGTCAGTGTGAACATCCTTCGTTTCTCCCTTCTTGCTCCTTCGTTTGGACTGTGAAGCAATATGGGCCTGCAAAGCAGTATGAGTGCGCATCCTCCGTTCACGCCCTCTTTGTCTTTCATTTGGGACTATGAAGCAGTAAGGGGCGAAGCCTAAGGATTCGTTTCACACAAAACTTTTTCTTTCGTTTGGGGTCTATACAGGTTAGTTTTAACGTATACTTGGACAAGAAAAGAATGCAATCAAAAGGACAGAAATCAAAAGTGAACAAATGTTATTTACATGCTTGAAACGAAAGGGTTAAGGTCAGAGTGACTTACCTTGCTTGACACTAGAGTGTATGTGTTGGACCTTGAGTGGCTCACCTAATTGCTCCTGGATTCAAAGGAAATAAACAAGTGTGGTGTTTCTTTGACTGGATTCGAAGACCAAGAAGAGTGGAGTTGTATTTGTTGTTTCTGGATTCGAAGGAAAAGAACAAGTATAGCGTTTCTTTTGTTGGATTCGAAAAAAAGAACAAAGTGTGGGGTTGCTTCTAGATTCAAAAGGGAAAAGAAACAAGTGTTGTGTTTCTAGTGTTGGATTCGAAAGGAACAAAAACAAGGGTATGTTCTTTTGATTCTGGGTTTGAGAGTGTATTAAGTGTTTGATGATTTTCACACAATCAAAGTTTCTCCAGCTACCAAAATCCTCTGGATGTGTTGTCCATCCCCCTAAGATGTGTTATGGAACATCTTATTTATAGATGAAGTTTGCTGAGATTTGGGAGGGAAAACAAAAGAATTTGAATAAAATGAGTAAGCTATTTTTGTAGCTTTCGAGGTGCAGTATTTGTATGCCAAATTGGTGCACATATAAAAGAAGTGTAGCAGGACTGCTGTGCAGCAGTTTTGGAGTGTTGTGGCCAGTGCATCAGGCTTGGACTTGCAGCGCATTAGACTTTGGTCAGCAAACCTTTGATTAGACTCATCAAGAGACCAAACATTAATTGTGTTCTTCGAATGGACCTTTTGTATGTTCATTCGAATGCAAGAAATTCATGTTCTTTGGATGGGCCACCAAATATGTCCTTTAAATGGGCCACCAAATATGTCCTTCGAATGGGACATCCAGGTATGTCTTGCAGGTCCTTCGAATGGACCATCAAATATGTCCTTCGAATAGGACATCCAGGTATGTCTTGCAGGTCCTTCGAATGGGCCACCATAGTGTAGAAACTATGCATGTCGAAATAAAATTCCCAAGGGAGATACTGCCCAGTCGAAGTAGGAATCAAGCTTGCTCAAAAGAAATCAAATGCTCAATCGAAATAGGAATTAAACTTGCATGCAGGTAGTTATCAAGACAAACCTGCAGAGGCCCTTGCTCAATCGAAGCAGGCACACAGGTAACTATTGTGTTGTGAATCAAGCAAGCATGTAAGGCCAGTAGTGCAATCAAAGCTTGCATGCAGGAGGTCCCTGCCTGGTGAATCAAAGCAATCATATAGGATACAATGGTGCAATAGAAGGATGTATACAAGAAGCCTAAATGCCCAAACGAGGCTTGCATGCAGGAGGTCCCTACTTGATGAATCGAAGGAAACCTTCAGAAGGCCATTGCCTTCTGAATCGAAGGAAACTTTCAAAAGGTCATTTCCTTCTGAATCGAAGGAAACTGTTTCAAATGGAAACCAAATCCAGTCGAAGCTAAGCATGAATCGAAGCAAGCTTATTTTTCTTCAATTTTGTTAAAAAATCAAACTTATCTGCTTTTCTCTTTCAATAGTTTCCTATTTGAACTGATGCTTGGAAATTCAATATGATCCAATTGCACTTGTGCAGCCTTGACCCAGTAGAAATTTTGTGAGAAAATCTTGAGAAGTGAGAGGGCAAAATTTGGGGTACAACACGTTCCATTTTGTTTAGGTTTTGTTCCTTTTCCATTACTACTATGTTCCTTTTCTCTAAAGGGCTTGACTCCCTGGGCGTCACCAAGCTAGCGCTTGTAACCAATCTGTGATCTACATAATCGCAATTTCTGCACAGAGTGCGATTTTGCACTTCAATCCACATTTTAGTCGCACAAAACCAACCAAAACCTACAGTGCCTTACCGTTTTCTATATTCAACTTAAGTGCATTATATCTTACGATATTCCATAATTCTCTTAAGTACATCGTACCTTACAGTGTTCCTTATTTATTCCATCTCTCATCAATATGTGCTTATGTGTTTGACCCTGTAGGTTCTTCTGACGTTGGAAATTATATTAAATCACATATTTTATATAATAAGCATTGAGCGGTATTTAGCAACACATCACTACTACCCAAATCACGAAAATACCACGTGATTTAACAAAGACCTTATCATGATAATGCTTGTGTGTATATTTACTCTTTTCCCCTCATGTCTATATTAAACGCAAGGCATAAACCATGTCACCCTTATCCAATTCATTATTGGACCTTTAGACATTTCTTTTGTTATGTAGGATAGAAAAATCTCATCTAGGTCACTCATGTCTTTCAACATGATTTGTGGAATACCCATCAACTGTCTTTATGGTCCTCTAGCTACTGACAACATTTGATCAACAATAAAGTACTCGATTCCACATCTAGAGTCCATACTGTTTTTAGGTCAAAGGGTGGTATACACCACTATCACGATGAGAATAACTTAAGACACTTTCCATAACATTCTATGTAGTATTCTCATAGAGGGTCAATCTAGTATGAATATTAATCCTAACACTGATACCTATATGGAGACTTGGTAACTCTTTATTCATGATCCATGAGATGCGATCATCAACCTATCCATATAATAGTATATATGCTTTAATATTATCCCACTTCACAATAAAGTTCGACTATAAATACTTTAAAAGTAGTGTCCTTATGTTTAATGAGATCTAATGATTAAGTCACACTTAATATTTCATTAACAGACTAGCTATTGTAAGGACTTCATTATTTTAGAAAAACAAACATGATAGATAAATAAATGCCTTTTAATTATTAATAAATAATTCGATACAAATACCAAGTTCTAATAAAACTATTGACCCATAGGGCTTACACCAACAATCTCCCACTAGCATTAGAGCCAATCAGGTATACACCTGATACCCATAAATCTAGTAAATATAATGAGTCATATATTTTTTCTGGTGTGATTTACAAGTGAGGAGAACTCTCTATTTATAGGAGAGAAATCTGGCTAAAAAATGAAAACCATATATGTGCTTTTTAATTCTCATAATCGATTATGCATATCACCTAATTGATTAATACCATCATTGGAGAGATTTATTGATTAAGATCATAAGAGATTTGAGCGAATGTCACTTTACAGTAGGTGTTATCCTTAAGAGATTGACTTTGATATGTTGATCTCATAAACATAACAACTTATTCATTACTGTAGATGAAGATTTGATCTCATAAAAATTGAGTGGATAATCTTAATTAAGTATACAAATAAAAAAATTGAAAATGAATTAGGAGATTTTTAGAAATTAATTAGTTAAAGTTAAATTAGATAATTAGTGTAGCAAAAAATAAATTATATATATAGATGCATATTGAAGAGGAAAAATTAGAAGCGGTTTGGGCAAAGCAATAGTTTTAGTCCCACATAGGCTGGTTTGTTATTTTTTGCTGTGTTTATATACAAGAGATACTCACTCATAGCTTGTCCCTTCGGGGACATCCGATAAAATTGGAACGATACAGAGAAGATTAGCATGGCCCCTGCGCAAGGATGACACGCACAAATCGAGAAATGGTCCAAATTTTTTTGCGATTTTTTCCCTCGTTCAGGTTTTGTTGTTCTGCACTTCGCTTTCGATTATTACGTTCCTTTTTGTTTAGGTTTTGTTCCTTTTCCATTATTACTACGTTCCTTTTCTCTTTCATTTTGAATTTAGGGTTTTCTTTTCCTTTATCATGAAGATTTTGAACAATGAACAATGCAGGTTGTGTCCATCATGAAGATTTTGAACAATGCAGGTTGTGTCCATCATGAAGATTTTGAACAATGCAGGCAGGTGCTGGTGTTATGTTGAATTAAATTCTTGTTCTGATTTGGTTATTATACAAACTCTTATTCTATCATTCTTATGCATACTTTCTTTTCACTCTACTCTAATGTCTAATCAAATGCGCTTTCAATTCAATTCTGTGTTATAGAAAACATCAAATTCACCATATACATATCATAACATAGCTTTCAATTCTATTTAATTCTGTGTTACATGCAAATTCACCATATACATATCATAACATAGCTTTCAATTCAATTTAATTCTGTGTTAGATGCAAATTCACCATATACATAGCTTTCAATTCAATTTAATTCTGTGATACATCAAACAATAGTAGATTGCCAATTTGTGTTTCTATCTCTTTCATTTCACCCTTTTTCCCAGGACAACATTTACAACATGCCTACCAATTAATTCAAAGTCAAATGAGATGCCTAGCTAGCTTAAACTTAATGCTTTGATTTTTTACGGATACGCGTTACACATGTCACATGTTTTCCTCATTTTGATAATACGGTTCAGTGCCGACATATATAGTTAGCTACTAAAAGTTCTGCTGTTGTGTGAATTCTAGCGTAGATGGATAATGCTCAAGTGGATTGGATACAAATCATCATAATTGTTGTAGGGAGGCAACATGGAACTTTCATCCGAGGCTTGGTCAGCACTCAAAATATATCACCAGTACATGTTTGAACCCACAAGCAGCAGACATACCGCATATATTTTAAGTTCAGCAGTCAGTCATAAGTATTTCAATTTCTCAACTTCCACGAGTTTCTAACTTTTAGGAGCTTTACGATTCAGATGACTATTTGATTCTTAGTTAACCAAATATTGCAGCGTGCTTTCGGGCATCAACTTCGACAACAAGTCCGGACATATGAAGAGCACGAGAAGTCTTTGTGATTATGGTCTCCACCACCTTCTTTAACCATCACTAGATAAATGCAACATATTATGTGATCAATTATTGATATGTTTTTAAATTTTATTTCTACTGACTTGCTTCCAAAATTCTATCACGTGTCAACCAAGTTGAAAACCTTTGCAGGTTAACGAAAGTTTTTTCCTTTGAAGAGTTTTTCTTTTCAGTTTTGTTGTATCATGTATGGCGTGATACATGGCTTGTGTTTGTGCATGTAATGAAAGTGTTTAAGATCACACAATAAACAACATATGAATTGAATTCACAAGAATATAGTTTGATGGTATTCTCATTTCAGATTTCAATTTAAAAGAAAACATAACAAAATTCCTCAGGTACAAAAACTGTCTCAACTAGTCAGTCCTACACTATTCTATGTTATCAGACAAATATGACCTTTTTATTCACCATGAATTAATTATAGGCCGTTTAAGCGAGATGTTGTATGTAAGAAGACTTCTTCCTTGCAGGGAATCGTAAGACCGCCCATTGGATGATAGTAACCAAATTCCTCTTCAGATTGACTAAGCAATTCTTGAAATAAAGGCTCGTTTAAGAATGATATTGGAATCAAGAACCTCCTCGCTTTCTCTCCAACATAAACTGCAAGGTATCCTTTTGGGACTTCCACTTCCTTGCTAGATGATTGGCTTGCACTGAATGATGATCGTCTAATGCCAGGTAAACGAAAACCCATTCTTGTTTTTGTTTCTTGACAATAGAATGATCTCAAAGAAGTAGTAGAAGAAAGAAGTGAACTTGATTTCTGATGCTTCAAAGTATGAATGGTTTGTGTTACTTGTAAACTCACTAATGAATATATATATATATAGAAAACCAATTGTATGGTGAATGAGTTATTGAATGTGGTTTAGTGGGAGCCATGGCTCATTAATGGTCACATGGCACTGTCTTGAAGGCTTTCATAGAGGACTGTGCGAAATGTGAGATTACATGCCCCACCTTTTGGAAAATTAGCCTATGAAAGAGACTTGAGATATCTAACTGAATATATTTTCAGACAAGTTCTAAACACATCAAATATCTTGTTCTTTTTTTTTTTTTAAGACAAGTGATATCTACCAGTAATTTAAATCCAATCAATTAACAATGAAATCTTCTTCAAAAATTATGCAAATTTATAGGGATAACATGAGGGATCACCACATGGTATTGTCTTGGACGGTCAGGTTATAGCTTGCTGCTTGCCCCACCTTCTGAATAGGCAACCCATTAGATAGGCAACCCAATTACAAGTCAAAAATGAGATGGCTATGTTAAACTTAATGCTTTGATTTATTATGGATACTCTTATTTTTGTAGACGCGCATTAGACATGTCACATGTTTTCTTCATATTGGTAACACGGCTCAGTGCTGACATATAGCTAGCTACAAAAAAGTTCTGATGTTGTGTGAATTCTAATATAGATAGATATTGCATAGTTGGATGCAAATCATCATAAATGTAGGGAGGTAACTGGGAACTTTCATCAAAGGCTTGTTCAGCAGTCAAAATTTATCAGTAGACATGTTTAAAACTCCAAGTAGCAGACATACTGGATATATTTATGTTCAACAGTCATAGGTGTCGCCAAACTATCTTTTAAGTGTCAAACTAGTCAAACTTCTCCATTTAAAATTGATAAACACACATAAGTTTGGATGAGTTTCTAGCTTTAAACACCTGTGTCAGAGTTATCAATCCCGGATAGCGGAGCTTCACGTTATAGGATAACAACTATGACCTCAATCCATATGAAGAGTGTGGGTAGTTCACGTGATTATGGTCACCACCACCTTCTTCAATTATTTGTATATTCTTCTTGTCTTCATTTCATTTCAATGCTAATGACTTGCTTCAAAACTCTAATAGTTGATAAGCTATCTTATAGCTAAGCATCCAATTTTTACATATTCCTTATGCTTCTGATACTTACTGCTGCTTTTGAAGTATCCGACTATTTCAAGTGCTCAACTTAAATGAGTTTCTAACTTTAAGGAGCTTTACGTTTGAGATGACTATTTGATTCTTAGTTAACCAAAAAACCTTTAAATGGTATTAAATTAAATGACTTCTATGTTCTTAATATGTTACTAATTCAAGAACAAAAAGAAAAACAAAATCCTTAAAAAAGACAAAAATTCAATCAAAATGAATGTTGGGTTTGTCAATGGAAGACTTTTCATTATTGGATCAAAAAGTGGTAAGCCCTGGTTTTACCAAAAGTATATTTTTAATTTGAGTATACTAAATGCAAGGAGGTTGTGATAGTCTTTTGATTAACAAAATACATAATATACACTTTTATGAGTAGTGGAGGGCTTCTAGGAATTTAGAGTAGGGATGTCAACATGACAGAGAATGTGCGGAGGATGCTTTCCCGCTTCCCATTATTTTCCTCATCCCCATCCCCGATCCCCGCTACAGGGGATTATTTTTCTCCATCCCCATTCCCGCAGATCCCCACAGAGAATCGGAGATTGAATCTTAAAAAAATTTCTATACTTTTTGATTAAAACTATGACACTACTATTTCGTGATTTTTTACTTTTTTTAAACTTATATTTTGCATCTTTCTTTTTTTTTTTTTTATAAAAAAAATAAAACACGTGTTATATCAATAACAAAAAAATACAAAAGCACTTGTTGTTACAAAAACATAACCACTAAAGCATGTTACTAATTGAAGTATAGTGAAGTTGATGAGTAATTACCTCATGAACAATGAACGAAGGATACTGGTTGTTGTGATGATGATGAGAACAGAGGAAATGAGGAATGGAGGAGACAAAGAGAATTAAGAAGAGAAGAATAGGAGATTGTGTGTACACTACATATAATGAGTGCACATTTTAGGGTTGGATACTTGGATAGTGAAACAATACATTACTCAATGAAACAAAAAAATAAAATGATTTATTGACGACTTTTTATTTCCAAATATCTATAAAAGTTAAATAATATGGTCAGGGTCGGGGAATCTGCGGGGTGGAGGGTACTTCCCTGATCCCCTCCCTTAAGTGTCATCAGAGAAACTTTTTCCTCCATCCCCGTCTCGACGGGGAAAAATCCCCAATTTTAGAGCTCTGTACAAATAATTCCCACGTAGATCCCCGTTAACAAATGCAAGTTAACATCCCTAATTTAGAGTAAAGGGTTTCCATTCATTGCGTGCTTTCGGACTACAACTTCGAAAACAAGTCCATGTGAAGAGCACAAGAAGTCTTTGTGGTTATGTCTTCACCACCTTCTTCAAGCATGAGTAGAAAAATGCAACATATTATGTGAACTGTTGATATTTGTAAATATATAATGTTAAGAATATTTGTATGTAGAATAGTCCCACATCGATTATATAGTGTAATTAGTTGTAATCTCTCTATATATAATAAAGTCTCTGTAGTGCTTTCATAACACACGGTTTAACCTAAATCTCTCTTAGTCTCTCCTAATTCAATATGGTATCTAGAGCCTTCTAAGAGGCAATTCTTCGCCGTGCTTTACCCGGTTGACCCACTGTCTTCCGGTGAGAAATTTTCTTCTGCAAACCGTGTCATCAATCTGGTTTGCCTCACCTTTTTTTTCCAACGACCTCCGGCAAGCACAGTCCACAGAAATTTTTTTTTTCTTTCTTCGGAGGACTACTGTTCACCGCCGATGTCACTGTTCACCGCTGCTGTCACTGTTCACCGCCGCCACACTGTTCACCGTCGCCGCTACTGTTCACGAATTTTTTTTCTCTCTCGGAAAACCGCCTTCCTCCTCCGGTTCCAGATCCGCCCTCGGTTTTCATTTTTGACTCACAAAAAGTCGTACTCTTGTTCAAACAGTCCCGGTTGTTGTGTTTTAAGCCATGGGAGATGCTGATTCTATCTCGTTTACTAAAGTTCCGCTTATCCCATGTAAAAAACTAACCGGATCAGCCAACTATAACATATGGGCTCTTGCATCTCTTGGCAACAATCAGAATCGCCTTCGAGGAGGGTCATCCAACTCCAAACCTCGTTCTAAGTGTGACCATTGTAACCGGCTTGGACATACTATCGATCATTGCTGGAAGTTGCATGGAAAACCTCCACGGCAGGTAAATGCAACTCAAATTGATAACCCAGACACTATGCAGACTTCACCTTCTCTTTAGAATCCTACGCCAAGCTACGAGGATTTTCTCAGGTGGTGTCAGACTAACCAGACCTCTGGTTCCAGGGCTTCGATTGCACACACTGGTAATTCATCTGTTTGCGTCTCTCAATCATCTCCTCTTGGTCCTTGGGTCCTCGACTCTGGTGCGTCTGATCATGTTACCGGTAATAAAAATCTTTTCTCTTCCCTTTCTACCTCTGGTTTCTTACCGAGTATAATTACTGCAAATGGTTCTCAAACCCGATCCCAAGGGATCAGTACTGTTCAAATTCTACAATTTCTCTTTGTTACTTCTGTCCTATATGTACCTAATTGCCCATTTAATCTACTGTTAGTCAGTCATTTAACTCGTTCCCTTAATTGTTCTATCACTTTTACTAACAGTGATGTTATTCTGCAGGATCGAAGTTCGGGACAGACGATTGGCGTCAGATGTGAGTCTCAAGGCCTCTACTACTTCTCTACGTCATCTACCACATGCTCCAGCACAAATTCTCCACTCATTATACATGCGCGGTTAGGTCATCCAAGTCTTCCCAAGCTACAAAAGTTGGTGTCCAGTTTATCTAAATTATCCACTTTACAGTGTGAGTCTTGTCAATTAGCGAAACATACTCGTAGTCACTTTCCTGATCGAGTCAATAAACGGGCTGCGTCTCCTTTTGCTTTAGTTCACTCCGATGTTTGAGGTCCATCGTGTACTGTGTCTACTTTTGAGTCTAGGTATTTTGTAACATTTATTGATGATTTTTCACGTTGCACGTGGCTATTTTTAATGAAAAACAGATCTGAATTATTTTCTATTTTTGAACAATTTTATCGAGAAATAAGAACCCAATTTGGTTTGTCCATTCGTACCTTAAGAAGTGACAATGCACGTGAATATTTATCCCAACAATTTCAAACTTTTATGCCATCCAATGGTATTCTACACCAAACATCTTGTCCTCATACACCTCAACAAAACGGGATAGTCGAACGCAAAAACCGACATCTCGTAGAAACCACCCGGACTCTACTTTTCCATGGTAATGTCCCTCTCAGATTTTGGGGGGATGCTGTGCTCACGGCGTGTTATCTCATAAATCGCATGCCCTCATCTGTCCTTAATAATAAAATCCCTCCTTCAATCTTGTTTCCAAACTCTCCTCTTCACCCAATTCCTCCTCGAGTCTTCGGGTCTACATGTTTTGTGCATAATCTCTCCCCTGGTCTTGATAAACTATCAACTCGATCACTAAAGTGTGTCTTTCTTGGTTATCATCGATCCCAAAAGGGTTATCGTTGCTACTCACATACTCTGCAACGATACCTGATATCGGCCGATGTTACCTTCTTCGAGTCTGTGCCATATTTTGCATCCATCCAAGTCACTCCGGAACCCCTTCAGGAAAGTACTCCCACACCTCTTCGGGACGTCCCATTTCCCATTATTCCCCATCATTCTAGGGAACCTGTCCCACGACAAACCCCTACGGTTGACCTCCCCACTTCTCGCCCACTTCAAACATATCAGCGTCGTAAACCAACGTCTGTCATACCTGTCCCTGAGGTTGTATTTGTCCCTGAGGTCGTACCTGTCCCTGAGGTCATTGCCGACTCTCCTCCGATGCTATCGCCATCACCGGATTCGATCCTGTAACCTGAGTCTGATCTTCCGATTGTCCTTCGCAAAGGTATACGTCAAACACGAAATCCTTCTCCACATTATATTGATTTATGTTATCATCGTCTTTCCTCTTTGCAGTATACTTGTTTGTCCTCTTTGTCTTCTGTTTCTATTCCTAAATCTCCAAGTGAAGCATTATCTCACCCTGAGTGGAGGCAAGCAATGATTGATGAAATGTGTGCTCTTCAAAGCAGTGGTACTTGGGAACTGGTTCCTCTACCCACTGGAAAATCTTTAGTAGGTTGTCGTTGGCTTTATACAGTGAAGGTTGGTCCAAATGGTAAGATTGATCGTTTTAAAGCTCGCTTGGTAGCCAAGGGATACACTCAGATTTTTGGGTTGGATTATAGTGATACATTCTCGCCTGTAGCCAAGATGGCATCTGTTAGACTTCTTCTAGCCATTGCAGCCATTCGACATTGGCCTCTTCATCAACTTGACATAAAAAATGCATTTTTACATGGTGATCTTGAAGAGGAAGTATATATGGAGCAATCAGCTGGGTTTGTTGCTCAGGGGGAGTCATCGAATATGGTTTGTAGGCTACACAGGTCTCTTTATGGTCTTAAGCAATCTCCGAGAGCTTGGTTTGGCAGATTCAGCACTGTAGTACAACAATTTGGTATGGTCCGTAGTGAAGCTGACCATTCTATCTTTTATCGTCACTCAGTCCAAGGGTGTATTTATCTTATTGTGTATGTAGATGATATTGTCATAACTGGTAGTGATGAGTCGGGAATACTCCAGTTGAAACAACATCTTTCCAATCAATTTCAGACAAAGGATCTTGGTAAACTCCGGTATTTCTTGGGTATTGAGGTAGCCAAATCTAAAGATGGTTTGGTGATTTCTCAGCGGAAATATGCTATGGATATTTTGGAAGAAACAGGTTTGTTGAACGCTAAACTAGTTGATACTCCTATGGATCCAAGTGTCAAACTACTATCCAATCAGGAGGAGCCTCTATCAGACTCAGAAAGGTATAGGAGATTAGTTGGAAAGTTGAATTATCTCAGTCACTCGTCCAAACATTTCTTTTGCAGTCAGTGTGGTAAGCCAGTTCTTAAATTTCCCTTGTCAGGAATACATGGATGCTGTTATCCGGATTCTAAGATACATCAAATGTGCTCCAGGAAAAGGTTTAGTGTATAAAGATAACGGACATACTCAGATAGTTGGATACTCTGATGCTGATTGGGTAGGGTCACCAATTGATAGACGATCCACCTCTGGGTATTGTGTACTTGTTGGAGGAAATCTTATATCCTGGAAAAGTAAGAAACAAAATGTAGTTGCAAGATCAAGCGCCGAGGCAGAGTATAGGGTCATGTCAATGGCAACATGTGAACTCATTTGGTTAAAATAATTGCTCAAAGAACTTAAAATTGAAGAAGCAAGACCAATGACACTAGTGTGTGATAATCAAGCTGCATTGCACATTGCTTCAAATTCAATCTTCCATTAGAGGACCAAACATATTGAGATAGACTGTCACTTTGTCAGAGAGAAGATCGAATCTGGCGACATCGTCACAAGCTTTGTCAACTCTAATGATCAATTGGCAGATGTGTTTACAAAATCTCTGTGAAGCCCCAAAACTAATTATATATGTGGCAAGCTTGGTGCATTTGACTTATATGCTCCAGCTTGAGGGGGAGTGTTGATATTTGTAAATATATAATGTTAAGAGTATTTGTATGTAGAATAGTCCCACATCGATTATATAGTGTAATTAGTTGTAATCTCTCTATATATAATAAAGTCTCCATAGTGCTTTCATAACACACGGTTTAACTTAAATGTCTCATAGTCTCTCCTAATTCAATATGAACAATTCTTGTTTTGAGTTTTGTTGTATATCATGTATGGCGTGGTAATATATACTACTTTTGAATTACCATATCTATTAGTACATAATAGACCATATCCATAAAATTGGTACATGGCTTATGTTTGTGAATGTAATGGAAGTATTTAAGATGGCACAATAAACAACATATGAATTGAATTCACAAGAATATAGTTTGATGATATTCTCATTTCAGATTTCCATTTAACAGGTAACATAACAAAACTCCTCATATGTACAAAAATTGTCTCAACTAGTCAATCCCACACTATTCTATGTTATCATATAAATATGACTTTTTATTCAATATGAGTTAATTGTAGATCATTTAAGCGAGATGCTGTATGTAAGAAGACATCTTCCTTGCAGGGAATGGTTAGACCACCCATTGGATGAGAGTAACCAAATTCCTCTTCAGCTTGACTCAGTAATTCTTGAAATAAAGGCTCGTTTAAGAATGATATTGGAATCAAGAACCTCCTCGCTTTCTCTCCAACATACGCTGCAAGATAGCCTTTTGGAACTTTCACTTCTTTTCTAGATGATTGACTTGCACTAAATGATGATCGTCTAATACCAGGTAAGCGAAAACCCATTCTTGTTTTTGTTTCTTGACAATAGAATGATCTCAAAGAAGAAAGAAGTGAACTTGATTTCTGATGCTTCAAAATATCGACACAGCTTTGTAATGTGGGACATAAATTTAATTACTCTGTCGAGTAATAAGATCACTTATTCAAAACACTGCACAATTCATATTTTTATCATAATTCTACATAAAGCTTTATTGTCAATGTGAAGAAAACATATGCCGTGTCTGTGGCATGTACAAGTATTGAGTTTAACATGAGCACATATCACTTGATTTATTGGCCACGGTTTGCACTCTTATTGAACTTATTGATCCTTGACAGAGGCATCTAAGTCAACTCCATGTGATCTCTCATCTCATGGTGCCCATCATTTTATCAATGATTTCTCTAGCAAAGGGATTTGAAGCTGTCAAATTCATTTAATGAAGCACGACTAATAGTGGCAGGTAAACGGAAGCCCATTTTAATGTTTCAAATAACAATCTCAAATTTATGAAAATGTATTTCAGTTTTGGTGCTTGATTACGTGAATGAGCTGTGATGGTTGTGAGGGAAGATAGTGTATATATAGCCTTCAAATCCATTTCTTTGATAAGTTGTTGTTGTTAAAGGATGGGGTCCATAAGATGAGGAATCACCACATGGTATTGTCTTGGACGGTCAGGTTATAGCTTGCTGCTTGCCCCACCTTCTGAATGAAAGGCCATTAGATAGACAACCCAATTGAAAGTCAAATGAGATGGCTAGGTTAAACTTAATGCTTTGATTTATTATGGATACTTGTAATTTTGTAGACACACATTAGACATGTCACACGTTTTCTTCATATTGGTAACACGGCTCAGTGCTGACATATAGCTATTAGCTAGCTACAAAAAAGTTTTGCTGTTGTGTGAATTCTAATATAGATAGATAATGCATAGTTGGATGCAAATCATCATAAATGTAGGGAGGCAACAGGGAACTTTCATCAATGGCTTGGTCAGCAGTCAAATATATTAGTAGTACATGTTATAAGTAGTAGACATACTGGACATATTTTAAGTTCAACAGTCCTAAGTGTCAAACTAGTCAAAGTTCTCCATTCTTAAACATTGATAAACATACATATCCAATAGAGTGACCAGTCTCACAATATATCCAATAGAGTAACCAGCCTCACAATATATCCAATAGAGTAACCAGCCTTGCATAACCATATCTACTATGTAAAAATAGTCAGTTTGCATAAAATTGGTGCATGCGTGTTTGTGCCTGCAAAGCAAAGCAAATATTTAGGATGATACGAAAAACATCAGATAATTTAAAAGAATATATAGTTTGGTTGGGAGGGTTCGCATTTCAGATTTCCACTCAAGAGGAAAAATCAAAATTAACAAAAATACCCAAATATATAGTTTGGTTGGGAGGGTTCGCATTCCTAAACATTGATAAATATATACATATCCAATAGAGTAACCAGCCTTGCATAACCATATCTCTACTATGTAATAATAGTCAGTTTCCATAAAATTTGGTGCATGCCTTCTGTTTGTGACTGCAAAGCAAAGCAATTATTTAGGATGATACAAAAAAACAATTGGAGGGTTCCCATTTCAGATTTAGGAGAAATCAAAATTAAGACAAGTGATATCCAATCAATAAATAATGAAATCTTGAAAAACTATGCAACTTTATATAGATAGACCGCTGCCACATTTTGATGTAACCATAAAATTTGTCTGTGTATTCACAGTATTTTCGCCTTCAAGCTGCTAGAACTGATTTGGATGAAATTTTAATTTTGATTAACACAGCCTTTCTTCGGACAAGCTGCTAGAAGATAATTTGCTATAATTGGAGGTAAGAGGAATTTGCAGGAATATCCTTGCATTGAAGATGTTCTTTTCATAATAGTTCTCGGTTCAATAGCCTATAAATCTTGCACAAAAGGAGACAAGAGACATAAATTAGCATAGTAATTTTTGTACAATAGTAATCACTTTGATTTGTAAAGTTTTTTTTTGTTTTCCTTTTCCTACTCTTGGAATGGTTTACAATCTGTCCATCTGAATAGGGAATCAAGAAAGAGATTATTTGTTATTATGTATTCCTAATCATAATGATAATATATTCAACTTGGGATATCTCAAGATGGGTGATTTTTACATATTGTAGAGCTTTTGTTAAGGTATATTTGAATTTGTGGTAAGTGATGGAATGGAATAGAGCGGTAAGTAATTAAATTTCATTGTTTGAATTTGCAAATAATGGATGAAGCGGAATGGAACATGATGGAATCTATTCCATCATATTCCATCTAATCCTTCAATTTTCATTTCGCCCAATTTGAGGTGTATGCAACAATATGAACTAATTAGTCATGTTACATTTCGTCAAATTAACAAAAATACCCAAACAATGGAATGAAATATCCGATCCACTCCATTACATTAGCTTATATTCAATTCTGCTCCATTTTAGTCTATCAATTCAAACATATCCTAAGATGTAGCGACTAACTTTGGAGAGTTTGCAAGAAGAAGCCCTTGGTGTGTTGATAAAGTTGTAATCTTTCATATTAGTTTTAAAGAGAAGATCTCTGATATATTTGTTTTGTGTGATTATAAAAGTGTGAGTAGAGATGTTTAGCTTCAATACCTAGAAAATAGTTTATAGTACCCCAACTGTTTAAGGCTAAAGACGACATGAAGTTGTTTAACCAGGTTATGAACAATAGTAGGACAACTTCATACAGTGATAATGTCATTCAAATAAACAATGAGATAAAACTATTTGATTTTTCTTATAATAGGTAAAGAGTGATGGGTCATATTTGCTTGCTTGAACCTCAAACATAAGAAGAGTTTAGGTCACGCGATCAAGTCATTGATTCAGAGCCTTTTGAGGCCATAAAATGCTTCATGCAACTTGCAAACATGTATTTGGTCATCACTTTCAAAGGCATGGGGTAGTTGCATATATGAATCTTCTTCAAAGAGGCCATTGAGGAAGACATTGTTGAAATCTAGTTGTTGAATGAGCCACTTTTAGGAGAGTGAAAGAGTAAACACAAGCATTATGGTGATGGGTTTGACCACAAACAATAAAGTTTTGTTTTAATCAAACCCTTGAATTTGATGAAACCCCTTGGAAACCAGGCTAGCTTTGAACTTACTAATGATCCATCTAAGTTTTACTCAAACTTATAAATGCATTCAATAGGTTTTATATTTGGAGGCAAGGGAACAAGAGACCAGGTTTGATTCTTTTGAAGAGAATCAAATTTGGTTCTTTTAAAGGGCATCAAATTCTTCCTTCATTGCAAGATACCATTTAGGGTCAAATAAGGCCCGATTAACATTATTTGTTTCAATATGTATAAGGAAGATTTTAAGGTGAACACGGACCATTTCAAATTTCGCAAAAGTTTTCATAAGGTGGATGCTGACAAACCTAGTTATTAGCGTGATAGTGGGTTGAGGAGTTAGTGTTAAGTTGACAAATAACATAAAGTGTAGGAGAAATGGAAACAAGTTGGCTTGATTCAGTCAATGTAGGGGAAATTTATGGATTAACATTTTGTATATGACTGGATAAAGGTGTGGAATAAGCCATAAGTGAGTTGCTTGTAGGGAGGTAAGAGAGGATTTTAAGGTGTGAATGGAATAGTGTTTATGAAATTGGCGTGAGTGTGAAGTGGTATTGTGAGAACTTATGTTGATAAAACACTATTAGATGATGTATGGATTGTGGCAATGTAAGAAGGGCTTAGTCAGCTTTAGAGGAATGATGTTTGAGATCTAGTACCCAAATCTCATCAGAATAACATTATTGGAATAAAATGGGTCTTCAGAAACAAGCTCAACAAACAAGGAGAAATAGTAAGAAATAAAGCTAGACTGGTAGCTCAAGATTACAGTTAGCAAGAAGGTATAAGTTTCTCTGAAACTTTTGCCCTTGTTATAAGGTTAGAGGCAATCAGACTACTCATTTCCTATGCTATTAACCATAATATTATTCTATACCAAATGGATGTCAATGGTGCCTTCTTGAATGATGTGATTTCAGAAGAAGTGTATGTCAAATAACCTCTTGGATTTGAGGATTCTATCAATTCATATTATGTTTTCAAGCTTAAGAAATCTCTCTATGGACTCAAACAAGTTCCCAGAGCTTGGTATGAGAGATTGTGAAATTTTCTAATAGAAAATGACTTTAGAAAGGGGTAAGTTGATACTACACTTTTCAGGAAGACACTAAAGAATGAAATCTTGATTGTTCAGGTGTATGTAGATTATATTATATTTGGTTATACTAATGCTACTCTTTGTAAGGAATTTTCTATGACTATGTAGACTGAATTTGAAATGAGTATGGTGGGAGCGTTGAAATTCTTTCTTGGAACTCAAATCAATCAATGCCAAAATGGAGTCTATGTTCACCAGACAAAATATACAAAGGAATTTCTAAAGAAGTTCAAGCTGGATGGCTGCAAAGTCATGACAACTCCAATGCATCCAACCTGCAATCTGAGTAAAGAGGAAAGCAACACTAAAGTTGGTCAGAAGTTGTATAGAAGTATAATTGGTTCTTTACTTTACCTAACCGCTTTTAGACCTGATATTCTATTTAATGTTTATTTTTGTGCAATATTCCAATCAGATCCTAGAGACACTTATTTATCAACTGTTAAAAGGATCTTCATGTATCTGAAAGGAACAATTAATCTAGGGTTACTTTATAAGAAATTCTTAGACTATAAGTTTATGGGATTCTGCAAGGCTGATTATGTTGGGGATATAATTGAATGAAAATCCACTAGTGGAGGTTGTCGATTCATAGATGAAAACCTTGTATCTTGGGCTAGTAAAAGACAAACAACTATTGCTTTGTCCACATCAGAAGCTGAATACATCTCAGCTGCTAGTTGTTACATTCAATTACTCTGGATAAAGTATGAGCTATAGAATTATCATATTTGTGGAGCAATATACCTATCTTATGTGATAATATTGCTGCTATCTGTTTGACAAAGAATCTAACTTAACATTCCAGAATCAAGCACAATGAAATCAAGCATCATTTTATTAGAGATTATGTTCAGAAAGGTATAATAGATATTCAATTCATTGATACATATCCTCAATAGGCTAATATATTTACTAAACCACTATTATTGAAAGATTTGATTTCATTAAAAATAATATGAACATGCATTTTGTTGAAGATTAGTGATGGTTTCTGAATGAAGGATTATAGTCTGATGATGATCAGAAGATACTGTGATCAGAAGCTCTAAAATAACTTCTGATGAACAGTAGACTCTGAAGCATCACAACCTTTGAAACTTAGAACTTGATCACTTGTTTCTGATAGTATGTAAGTGTAATATTTTTATTTTAAATATATTCTAACCACTTATATGTCACTTGTCTGAATGGTCCTTGAATCTGTTTAAGTGTGCTATATGTTGGATCCTCAATATCTCCTAGATTATGCTATTTTTGATCATTCAATGAGCTATATTAATTGGGATTTAATATTTCTATGATAAAACCTATTTTCTTGTTACCTTTTAAATATTTTTGGCTTACATAGGTTGATGAATGTTTCTTAGAACTTCATTTAATCACATCATTAAAATGAGTTTTTCATGCAAATGTCGATTGGAAAAAAATTCATTCAAAAGGAAATGATTACAAGACAATGTAGTAAAGCTTTGCTACATTATTTAGTCTTGTTTATCACTCATTGCCCGTTCCATACGAAAGTTCTTCCAATCAATATCCCACTCCTCTGATGCATCCGAATCAAAGTAGAATACTTTCTCTGAAAACTTTTTATTCTTCTTGAGTATGCATGACAAATAAACTCGCTCCCGCCGGGCCCCGGCCGCCCCCGCTCCAAAATTAGCGGGAAAAACCCGGTTTAACTTGGGGCGGAGACGGGTGCAGGGAAAACCTGATTTTTATTTACGGGTGCAAGGGCGGGTGATGCTAGTGTCATACCCCAAATTTGCCCTACCCTTTATTTTATATTTAAGGTTTCTTTTAAATAAATCGCATTATATAGTTTTCACTTCTATAGGAGTTTAAAATAAGGAAAAAGGGTGTAATAATCTTAAATGGACCATCAATATTTGATGGCCCATTAAGGTTTCTTTTTAGAGAGGATGCATTTTATAAGTATATTATTTTGAAAAAAGTCACGGGCCTTTCTAAACTAGAAAGGGCCCATGTAATTCTTTCAGTCCATTTCAAGTTAAGGGAGGTGTATTGTTTTAAAGGAGGTGTGAACAAATCATTTTTTAATAAAGCCCATTTCAAGTTAAAAAAGGGGTTTGTATTTGTTTGGTCAGAGGCCCATATCGTTTTTTTCTTCTAAAGGCCCATTTAGGTTTTTTGAATAAGATTGATCTATTTTTTATAAATCAGAGAAGGCTCATATGCAATTTATTTTAGGCCCAATATTTAGAAACAGTGGCCCAATTCAGATTTTGAATTTGTTTTGAAAAAAATATTTTGTTTTAATTATAACACTATTATTATTGTCTTCTCATTAAAATTACTACTTATACAAATATTTTATTATAGCTAAAATATTATACTTCAAACTTAATTAAAATCATGTTTTGAAAAATGTTGAGGCTTCCAAACGCACAACCCCAAAAAGGTCATTACATGCCCAAGTCTGAATTGCAATAGATGTATGGCCCAAGTCCAAATCCGAAAAATACATGCTCCAAAAAATTGCAGGCCCAATGAAAAGAAACGCACATCATTACTGTGCAGAGGGCATCATTTTCTAACAACTACTGTTTGAATCGAACTTAATCTT